TGCAGGATTAAGATATTGTGGGTATAGGGCGCGTCGGGATCCCGCACAAGGTGGCCATCAGTCATGAATCTATATTCCTTATCCATCTCGATACCCAAGGCGGCTTTGATTTCAACGCCGGTGCTCGTGACTGACAGATTTGTGCGAGGAATGACGGGGTCGTGAATTCGCTCAAGTTTCCCACAGTGCTGGAGCTCCCCACAGTCCAGACATGTAAACCAAGATAGGCTGGGGGCATAAAGAGAATGCCATTGGCGCGGGGGCCTAGAGATCCCGACTCCCCAAGAAAAAAGCGACAAGTCGTCTATTCTCGACGCGATCATCTCTTGCAGGCGTGTGAAGGCGTTTTGGCCCTCACCGTATATCAATGGCATATGGATGTCAAAGATACCGAGCAGCGAGTATGCTCTGTCTTCGATCCGAGTAGTTCTCCGGGGCGCCGCCCAGGACATGCGCCTTGCAACGGCAATGGTCGAAAGCTCCCTTTGGTGGAGAAGAACTTCTTGATCGATGCCGGTAATGACAGACAGAGACTCGGCTGTATCCCTTTTGGTCCCGCGGAAGTTCCATGACTTGTCGTATATTGAAATATCGAATGGCGCTATCAGTTCTTGCAGAGTCCAGCCACGAGTAAACCAGCGACACGGCCGTATTTGTTCCATTGTAGCGATGCACTTGTCTGGTTCAAGGTCCTCGAGGTAGACGACGCACTCGGATGCATCTTTGTACCATTGGAACATGGAATTGATCGACTCGGTAAGCTCGGCACTGCTTGTTTTGTCGATGCAGCAGGTATCGACCCAGACGTGCTTGACATCAGGGTGGAGGTTGATCTCGCATATGCCTTTTATTTTCTTGAATCCTTTCTTCTTCTTGGCCGTCTTCAGATGATTCATGTCCTGAAAAGTGACTTCTTGGTCCCCCCAGGTATGGGAGAGGATCAGGTACCTTATGTGGCTCGGGTCCTGATGGTACTCGAGCGTGTACGTCGCTCGGTTGATGAGCCACATTACGATGACAATTGAGCGATGGCAGCGTCTGCTGATGGGTGTTTGAGCAAGTTATCGAGAAGGATCTGGTGCAAGTTACCTACGGGCGCCCGTGGATTTGGTATTGGCTCGCGATTTAGGCATCCATTAGGTCAGAATTAACGGAAGATTGTTACTCCGGAAATTTCCATTGGCTTGAATCTCAGGTAGTTACTCCACCAGCAGTTGTTGTTCACCCGAGGTCAAAAAGAATTTGGAAACTCAGAAATGTATTCATAAAAAGTTCCCCTGGGCATCGCATCAAACAAAAACCAATACTACAGTCCAAGAACCACCACATCAACAGTAACCGTGCTTAGTACTCTGTAAAGTTCTGGGGAACAGAGTTAGCCAATATTACCTAGGTCGTTTGGATTTTGAGGAGACAGACGTACCAGAAACCCAGACATATCATGTCCCCTTTGCTTTCGTGCTGTTCTCCGTCTTCGTTCCTCTCCTAATCATCGGTCTTGAAACCCATTCGTTAGCGCCATCACCACCGAAAGTCGACGTCACCGATTCCAGCAGATCTTGCTGGTTCTTGACTTACTTGACCGGGTGATTGACCAAAACCAAAAGGCGTGGATGACATCACATGGCCTCGTTATTCGCTACGAACTCCTCAATAGACTCGACCCGGCGATCGTTCGCGACAGCCAAAAGTCTGCTCTTGGGGGCCGCCTCCACCAGGATATCCCAGTTGTCGCGCTGGAAAGTTATCGAATCCGCAGGAACGTGAAGAATGTTTGCAAACTTCTACCGAATCTCCTCGACTGAGTGATCATCTGGTGGGGGCTTCCAGTGGTTTAGACAGATCATAACATCACATATTTCAGACATATCGCCTCACTTGAAAACTGGCGAGATCTTGAGAACGATTGGCCTGGCCATGACGTGGGTGACAAAATGGAGACTCTTGAGAGGTTTGAGGTCCACGGCGGTCAGCCTGCAGCTGTTCGGCGTGCTGCCGTCATCCGGGCCCGTACACTCGCAGAGCCACATCTCGTCGCCGAGGGTCGATTTCATGTCGAAATTGGCTTGACCCAGATGGTGCATGATCTCCCCTAGGGGTATGATCCGCCCAGTCATATCCTGAGCTTTGGTCTTGAAGAGATAAAGTTGGATATTCCTCGTCGGACTGAAGGTAATCATCGTCGGCGCGCTCAAGCTCCTCCATCTTGAATTTGTTGCCATTGAGTTCCGCCATGTTTGTTGGTATTTGGCTTCCTATTCGATGATGCCGAAAGAAAATTGAAATCCAAGGTAAACTGAGTTGAGCCGGGAAAATGTGGAAAAGACGATGAGGAAGAAATGGATGAAGGAAGAGAGGAAAAAGGGAAGGGCACGGAAAAGGGAAGAAGACGGAAGAGGAAAGGAGGGACAGGAATTGGTTCATAAGAATGGAAGCTCCGAAGGTGCCATGGACCAGGGAAAGAGACTTACCCACATAACCCCACATAACCTTATTTGTCTTGGCTTTGGGATACACTGCAGGCACGGTCTGGGTAACTCCGTTTAAAGCAAGCTGTTCATTTGGTCAATAAGGTCAGCAAACAGCCACCAACATATCAAGCCCCGGGAGGGCCGCTAGGACTGTCATCAATCTCGTCAACAGCACACTTGGCAACTATTTGCACTATGTAGTGCACACCGGTGGCGGCTTCTTACTATATCATAAAATAAGAGTAACAGAACAAAAAACAAGGGGGGGATGGTGGGGGGGGCATGATACTATTAGGTGTGTATGTGTGTGGTCATGTGTCTCCTCGAAGTCTGAACGAGTGAGTACTGGCTGCTGAATGAGTGAATATCTGGTAGGTGGAAAGAAGAACGCGGTGCAAGGCCGTTCATGCTGCCATGGATTGAGTGGTCTAGCCCAAAAGCCTCTGTCTAACAAATTATTTCAGACCTCTTGCCGTGACGCTTCCTCCAACTTAACACAAAAGCACCGCGACTTTGGGGTGTGAAACAGGTGTCCCCTCCGCTTCCTGACAAACACAGAATACAGGCCCCCGGAGACATAGACCGCCGCAATACTGATAATGACCGGCCATTGGAACTGATCGGGCCGCGAGAACACAATGGTCGTGGCATACGAGATCAGCTCAAAGAGGTTTTGGAACAACGTCTCGACGGCCGAAAAGGTCCCTCGATAGCCCATCTCGACCTCGTCTTGCACGATGCTCTGCGCGCACAGGTCAAACCCCCACAGACCGACGCGGCTCAACGCCACGCCGACAGCCAGCCCGGTGGCAGATATCAAGTTGTGTCTTGACCAGTTATGGCCGACGTCCGAGAAGAACCAAGCGACAGCTGCGGCAAGCCAGCCCATCTGCCAGGTCAGGCTCCATATGCCGCCTCGGACCTCGCCAATCCTTCGCATGAGCCGTGGCGCAATCCAGGTCGCGCTGAGCTCGCAGACTGTGCTCACGGTCCGGGCAATGCCGACATACAGAGAACTGTAGCCGACCGAGATGAGGTAGGTGATCATTTGTCCGCTGAAAGATAGGACTGTGAGGTAGAGTAGTGCCAGCGAAAAGGACGGCAGGAACGCTGGGTGTTTGAGGTAGAATGGGAGGGACGATACGGGTAGGAAATGGGAAGCTGTGACTGTTAGACCGTTTCGTAGCCTGCGTGAATGAGAAGGAGGCTCTGCGGGATCCTCGGCTCCTTCCGAAGTTGCTGTCTCAGCTGGACCGCTCTCGTTGCGTTTCAAGCGTGGGACCATCGCGTAGACCTTGGCAATGAAGATGTACTCGAGAGCTACCGCCGCGAGGTTCATCCCAAGCGTTGCCAAAATAGCGACCACCGTTGACACCATGGCAATTGTCGAGATGGCCAGCGGGCCGAGAAGCTTGCACAGGAGGTCGATTCTTCGCATCCGAGCATTAAGGTCTGATAACTTGTGAGCATGTTTGTATCTGAGGAGCAGCGGGGACGACTGACCTCTTCGAGCGTTCTCATTACCCTCCGTAATCACGACGACCTAACCCGGCATCAGCCTCTCGTATCAGGCCGTAATAATGTTCAGAAGCCTGGACGAGCCTACCCAATCTCTCTCGACCGAGACAAGATTCATGACGGAAGAAAGCTTCTCCACGCAAGCCAACACCACTGTCAGCGCAAACAGTGCCTTTTGTACCGACTCCGTCATATCGCTTTTCCTCTCTTCTAACGCCCAGAACAGTCCGCAGCTCAACGCGACCGCGACGCGTTGGCCGACAATGGATACCCGGACAACGGTAAGTCGATCGCCATGGTCAATCCAAGACCCGACTGGCTGCGAAAATAAAATAGCTGCACCGCTGCGCACCAGCGCGTACACCGACATGGGTAGAAGTGTGTTTGGAAAGATCATTGCCAGGAATAGGACGGACGCAAACTCGAACAGGCGCGAGTTCCATGTCGACAGGAAATGAGATGTGTAGAGAAGCAGGGCGAGATTTTTGGGCACGGTAGCTGGAGCTGTCAAGCGGTCCGCTGGCTCACGGTTCTGGTGTTCGTCGCCTGTATTCGAGTTCATCGGTGAGGTGGACGTTGGCTGCATTTCTATGGGACTGGAGGCTGTCCCAATTCCGCTGAAAGTCGCCATGTTTGCTCCGTGATATTAACGTGGGAATGTCATTCCTCACGGACCGCTTCGGTGAGCGCTGATGGCATCATGAAGGACGACGGCATTTTCGGTGAGGTGATGTCGAGAGAAAGCTTCGAAGTTCAATTCGAATGATTGCAGCCGAGATCGGGACGTGCCGAAGTGGACCACAGCACCTGCCGCAACCATGCAGATTGCAGATGTCATGACGATGATCAAAGAGAAAAGAGCAAAGACGGGAAGTTACATGCACACGCAAGCCGTCTCCGAGCAAAACAGAGGAGATTTATGAGGTCTCTTCACAAATACACTTGTTTTCCATCGCTGAGGGGGACAAAAAGAGACTTTGCTCCTTCCTGGTAGGAAGGGAACGAACTGAATGCCCCCACACGGGATTGAACCGTGGACCTCAGCATTTCAATCTGCGGGAAAATACGAGTGCTGCGCTCTACCACTGAGCTATACGGGCTTGTGGTGAATTAGATGCCGGTGTGGATTTGGAAAATGAAATCAAGGCTTTTGGCCATGGCTCAAAACCAGTTCGACAGTTTGAAGATAACATGGAGGAGCAATGGCGTTATGCGATGAGAGCGAAGATGGAGAAGTAATCGGTTGCACACAAAAGTACAAGCGCAGCTGCTGTCGAGACGCTGGCTGACCAGACGCTGAGCAGAGGGCAGGTGAAATGGTTTGCCAACAACTGTCGTTGCCATCTCTGTTACTCACCAGTGCAGGTAGTAGCGGGAAGTCCGTCATGCTTGCCCAAATGGAAGAGAGCTGGAAGACCTGGCCGTCAAGGTGTTTGATTCTTCCCGCGGGATACCTGGTAGTTTCCGTAGGAAGGAGCAGCAGATTTTGACACCGACTCACCGAGGTCCACTTGAGTCCCGGTCCAGATTCAGTCTCAATTCTCGCCCCCAGAGCAACCTAGGTGCGCAGTGCGTGTCTCTGGTAGGTAAGGTATTAAACCATTTGCCCGTGTGTGAACTTTTGATGTTCTCTTCCCTCGACAAATAAACAACAACTCACATCACGCAAGCAGACTCTCGCAGCACAATCACCCACCAAACCCATTTCCACTTGTCTATCAGGACCTCAGTAGATTCAATCATCCCTCACGATGAGTATCCGTCGCGAAATCAGAAAATTCTTCTGGCGGCCGCGGCGAGTGTTTTATCCCGTTCAGATTCACTGAAAACGTGTTGTTGCTGTTTTTGCTGCCGGCCGGAGTAATCACTGTCCGTACGAATCGGATAACAAAGGCGTCGAGGAGGCGGGAAAGTCGCGTTCTTTCTTTGTTTGCCCACTCCCGTCCAGGTCCCGAATCCGGAGCATTATCTCACCCATGTCTCTCTTTAGCCAGATAACATCGGTTCCCATCTATTCAACTATTGTTCAACTGGCACGCTTCTTGTTCGCGTCGAGGGCTCGACTTTCTCGCCAAGTTCCAACAACCAAGCTCGCATCTATCACTCAGGCCACCATCCTGTTACAGACTCAAACCTTGGGGAACGCGATTAAAATAATGAGCATGGAGTACAACACAAGTGATGCCACGGTTCTCTTCAGACATCTACACGAGGACGCAAAAGACTGGCTGGCAAACGCCCTCTATTACAGAGAGCTCGAGACCATCAGGAGAGAACGCCCCTTACTGAGTCCTGTCAAGAACGGCCAAAGCGTAACCAAACTCGCCCTATACAATCGAGATGGAGAGCCGTCAGAAGCGTCCAGTAGCTATGGGGGCTGAGAGGTGGCGGTTTAGGTCGACTAGATTCTCTGGCGAGGCGCGCAGCGCGTCGTACACATCCTCCAAGTTACCTTCGCATCAAGATGGCTACGGTTGAAGACGAATCCGATTCCGACGAGAAGGGAACCAAGACGAAACCAGTGGTTCTTGACGACGACGACGAGAACGAGGACAAGAATAAAGGCAAGGGTACTGCACGCCATTCCGATTCCGTCCCTTCGTCACCCAGCGAGATACTCGCGAGCCCATTCTTAGGCATGAGTCTTGACCCTCTAAAAGCAGGATCCGCATCCACCGCCGAAGTGCCCTCTGGTCCGTACACAGGCACGAGAATCGACCCTGAAGAGATTCGAAATACAGTAGGCTACACAGGAACAGCTCAAATGCACTTGGGCGGGAAACGAAAGTGACCAAGAGCGACTTCTTGCTGACCGGATACCGTTTCTCGGACCAAGAGATCATCCTGCAAGGTCCGGATTGGCTTCCGTACCTGGGGAGACACCGAGAGCCGCTCTTGTTCAGTGGATTTCCCATGGTTGAGGACATCACCTTCGTAAAACACCCAAACAACTGGAACGACCCCAGACGAGACGGGAAATTGATCGACAGCGGGCAGTGCTTCTGGATCTCGAGAGCGTTGCTTATATACGGTAGTGCTGACCATTGGCTGAGCGTCAAGGCTGAGCACCTCGTCTTTCTTGAGAAAGTTCTTAAATACCCACATCACTCCCAGTACGCCTTCTACTCGAGACAGAACAACGTGTTGGCTCAAACGCGCGTGACAGGTCCGTCGGGACCTCTGTTTGATGGAACCCTCAACTGGTAGGAGCGATTGCAGATACCGGGATGCTGGATCAATGAAGACATGCTGATGCTGACGGCCGACGTCTACAAGCTGTACGTTGTTTCGTACAAGTACGATTCCAGGAAGAATCGGGAGTGGAGAGACAAGATCTACGACATGAAGACGTACGGCGCGTACAACAGCCGCCACATCTTTCTTTGCTATTATGTATGTTTCTTCCTCATTAACGGTCGCTTTAGATAGTATCAGCCCGTACTGATGGCACGTGTCGTACCAGTGCGAAAACCACTTCCAGCCCATGATCCCAAATGATTTTTACCATTACGAATTCAAGTTGCCACGACTGAGCATGAATGCAACAAGGAAGTACAAGCTTGTCTCACGCGAGCACCGCAGGGCACAGGACGGTCTAGGCCATCACTGGAGAGCATCGCGCACAACCATTCCGCCTTCTTTGGCGCGGAATACTTTCGTCGAAGAAGACCTGACCAGGGTAGTTGGATACGGGCCGTACCGTCTTCGGAGGGCGGGGCTCCAAACAGTCCCCGTCTTCTTCCGCACGTCAGTTCCAGTGGAACATCACGGTCTCCTGTACCACCAGGACGGCCGCCTGGCCGAGAGAAATCTCCGCATCTACTACCACGCGCTCGTCCGCCACCTCCGCCACCTCCAGGCTGGCGTCCTCCCGGGACCGGGCTGCCTGACATCAAAAGGAAACGGAAATACGATCATAAGGATAGCAATGATGACGAGGACGGGCCACCGGTGCAGAGGCCGAGGCGGACCCTGAGGCAGAGTGCCCCTGAACCGCCTCCCATCGGTGTGAAATGGCCACTGGGGCTGAGCAATCCCGACCCGGATGACCAACCCCCAGCACAAAAGCCTAGACAGATTGCTCCTAAACCACGAGGTCCGGGAATCTCTGGGGAAAAGAAAAGAAAAAGATCACCAAAGGATGAGGGAAAACTATCACCGGGGAAGCTACGTTGAACCAGGATTCTGGGATTGATTGGTGATGAGGAAGGATGTGTTGTCATACAGCATTGCAAATGCTCTCGCCTCAAGAGTTTGTAAGCAAGCATCGCCTGGCTTCTAGCGGCGGAAGCCCTCCGAGGCCGGGCCGGTTTTTCTTACCCACAAAAGAAGGGGGCTTTTGTTCCTGGATAATTACACTATTCGGAATTAACACATTCCAGCCAAAACTTGCATCGTGCCTTTTAGAGCCAAGTCATTCCCATCATGATCACGGCTGTTTCCTGATTTCCATCCCCCAACAGAAGCCGGGAAGACAGAGGCAGAGTCAAGTTTGCGTGCGTGACACAACCACAGGAGATATGACCAAGAAGAGAGGGTTTGATGAGAAAGCTGGGCGGGACATGGTTTCGGAGTCAGATGGTTGAGTCGTGATGTCAGCTTCCTACAAACTTCTGACCATGTGTGGGCAACAACTGACTCACCTGCCCAAACGCAAGGGATGTAGGATTTGCATATATAAGAAGAGTATGCTTTTTGATTAGGTAGGTACTACAGCACAACCTACTGCTTTATCGTTAGAATTAATAGAGATTGTCCTGATCACTCTCCAATATATGCTGTACGGAATAAGACTGAGGTGTTTTAAAGTTTCCCATATCTCTAAATATAACAATACAAATCCTTGCTGGTATCTGTCTAACGCCCTCAAACGCCAACCGATGTGGATTGAGTCATTGATCATCAAAGTAATACACCCGAACATTGAGGGTATCTCGATAATAAGAAAAAGAAAAGAACAAAAGCGAGTAAGGGGTATTTATCCAAAACCCGAACCACAGACCACAAATCAATGAACTCTCATCTAATGCTTCTGCTCCAGTACCAATATGCCATGCATTTCCTGACTCATAATCGTCGGTGTCGTCATTCATCATTTTCCAAGCCCCCTCGCTCGCTTGACACCCTGCCAATGTCGATCCCTTCGAAGACTCTACTTCTTAGAGAGGCAGACATTTGAGAAGCACGTGGCCAGGTACGCGTCGACCACATCGTAGAACAGCTGGACGTTAGCCGTCCACGCCACGTTAACGTCCCTCTCGGGGCCAACTGCCATCCGCATGAGGTCGATCACTGTCCTCGCGATTTTCGCAACCCTGTCATCGACCGACAGTCGATCCTCTGCCGGCATCGATTTGAATCTGTCCCGGACCCGCGAGTAGTCCCGGAACTAGTAGACATCTGAGTGAGAGGGACAGGGATGACCGTTTCCGCCTCTCTTGCTGGCGCCGACACAAGTGTGGTCTCCGAAACTGACACAGGAGGCGCGGAAGTCTCGGGAGCGTTCTCTTCTTCCTCATCTGAAGAAACGTCCTTTTCCTCCTCAGGAATATTCCCCTCTTCCTCATCTGAAGAAGCGTTCTTTTCCTCCTCAGGAGTACTCCCCTCTTCCTCATCTGAAGAAGCGTCTTTTCCCTCCCTCGGAAGCATTCCCATCTTCCTCATCCGAAGAAGCCAAGCCTCCTCTCCCTCCACGGCACCTCCAACCAGCCGCATTACTTCAACTCGCTGAGGTTTTGGCTTGGGATTGACGATCTCCGCGAAGTGATTGGCTGTCTGTCTGGGTTTTTCATTGCCGATCTCAAGTTCTTCGGAAGTGCTCGAGTCTCCTTTACTCTCTGAACTGTCTTCGCTTGCCAACTCGGCGTAGGAGAGGCGCGGCGTGGGTTGAGGAGCTGGTACCTCGGGTTGGGACTCCTCTGTTTCAAGGATGTGCTTTGAGACACAGACTGCCTTGAGTCGAATTGAAAGGTTTGAGGAAGCAACTGGCCTGGGTTGGGGTGCCGCGATCTTGTTCTCCTCCTCTTCCCCTGGCACTGGGTTTGAGCCAAAGGCTGCCTCGAGCCGAGTGACAATGTTGAGGAAAGAACCTCGCATGGCT